GAATCTCCATACTATTTTCCATAATGGCTGCACTAATTTACAGTCCCACCAACAGTGTAAGAGGGTTCTCCTTTCTGCACATCCTCACCAGCACATGTTATTCTCTGTTTTTTTGATAATGGCCAGTCTAACTGGCATGAGATAATATCTCAATATGATTTTGATTTGCATTTCCCTGATGCTGAGTGATTTTGAGCATTTTTTTCATGTGTCTGTTGGACATTTGCATATCTTCCTTTGAGAAATGCCTATTCAGCTCCTTTGCCCATTTTTTAATCAGGTTACTTGTTTTCTTACTGTTAAGTTGTATGAGTTCTTTGAATAATCCCTTGTCAGATGCATAGTTTGTAAATATTTTCTCCCATTCTGTAGTTTGTCCTTTTGCTCTGTTAATGCTTTCTTTTGCTGAGCAGAAGCTTTTCTTTTGATATAATCCCATTTGTTTATTTTTTCCTTTGTGGCCTGGACTTTGGGGGTCATACTCATAAAGTCTTTGACTGAAGACTAAATCCTGAAGTGTTTCCCATATGTTTTTTTTTAAGGAGTATATTTAATGAAGGAAGTGAAAGACCTCTTCAGTGAAAACTATACAACATCGGTAAAAAAAAAAAAAAATGAAGAGGACACAAATAACTGAAAAGATATCCCATGTTCATGGGTTGGAAGAATTAACGTCATCAAAATGTCCATATTACCCAAAGTAGGCTACACATTCCATGCAATCCTTATCAAAATATCAATGACATTCTTCACTGAAAAAGAAAAAAAAAGTCTTAAAATTTGTATAGAACCACAAAAGATTCCATAGAGTGACAGCAGTCTTGAACAAAATGAACAAAGTTGGAGGCATCACACTTCCTGACTTCAAAATGTACTATAAAGCTATAGTAACCAGAATAGCACAGTACTTGTTACTATAAAAACAGACATGTTGACCAATTGGATAGAATAGAGAGCCCAGAAATAAGCCCACACACTTAGAGCCAACTAATTTTCAACAAAGGTGCCAAAAATATACAATGAGCAAAGGACAGCCTCTTCAACAAATGGTTCTGGGAAAACTGGATATCCACATACAGAAGATTGACACTAGACCCCTATTTCTCACCATACTCAAAAAGCAACTGAAAATGGATCAAAGACTAAATTTAAGACCCAAAACTATGAAACTACTAGAAAAAAATATAGGGAAAATGCTACTTTAAAAAGGGAAATGAGCACCACTTATTTGAGTGAGACTACAAAGCCACAGGCAACTGAAGCAAACACACATAAACGGGAGTACATCAAACTAAAAAGCTTCTGCACAGTAAGGGATACTGTCAACAAAGTGAAGAGACAATCTACAGAATGGGAGGAATTGTTTACCAACCACAAATTGGACAAGGAGCTAATATCCATAATATATAAGGAACTGAAATGACTCAACAGCAAAAAATCAAATAATCCACTTAAAAAATGGATAGAGGACCTGAACAAACATTTCTCAAAAGAAGACATAGAAATAGCCAACAAGAACATGAGAAAATGCTCAAAATCACTAATCATGAGGAAAATGCAAATTAAAATCACAATGAGATATCACATCACTCAAGTTAGAATGGCTATTATCAACAAGACAAAAAATAACAAATACTGGCAAGGATGCAGAGAAAAAGGAACTTTCACACATTGCTGGTAAGAGGGTAAATTAGTACAGCCACCATGGAAAACAGTATGGAGCTTCCCCAGAGAACTAAAAATAGATCTGCCATACAACCCAGCTATTTCACTATGGGGTATATACCCAAAGGAAATGAAATCAATATATCAAAAAGACACCTGCACTCTCACATTCTTCACAACACTATTCACAATAGACAAGAGACAAATTCAACCTAAACATCCATCAATGGACGAATGGATAAAAAAAAATGTAGTATACATACACAATGAAATATCCCTCAGCTAATAAAAAGATGATATCCCATCATTTACAGCAACATAGATGGAACTAGAAACCATCATGTTAAGTGAAGTAAGTCGGGCACAAAGAGACATATACTGCATGATATCACTTGTGTGGAGTCTAAAAAAAAAGAAAAGAAAGAAAAGTGGTTCTCATATTCTCACAGAAGTAGAGGGTGGAGTAATAGTTACCAGAGGCCAGCAGGTGGGGGCAGGGGGGAGGAGGGTCACAGGGGAAAGGAGAGAAAGTGGTTTAGATTGACTTTTTAGTTCAGGGAAGGTAAGACTGAGGATGAGAATTTAATCACTTGGAGAGACTATGTGATATGTGCAGAAGAGTTATACTTAAAAGCAGACGTGTATACACTTACATGTGTGCACAAGGTACATCCATGCAGTCTGTGTGAGTGCATCTGAA